CTCATGGTTTTCCCAAGACCAACAATGGCCCGAACAGTTTGATGATTCCGCAACTTGTTCTTCATCAATGACTCAGACAGCAACATGTCCATGTCCTGAAGAAGAGTGTCTTTGCTTTCAGCTCCAGGTGAACCCTCACTTGGCTCTTGGTCGCGCACCACAGATCTCCTACATTTACGTTTTGCTGATTTAGCTTGCTCCTTATTCGCTTTGCTCTCCCTACATTGGCGTTTTGCCGGCATATTTAATGTTTTTGTTTTGCCTGTTACGCACTTATAACAAACTAGATCATCAATAAATGACGCACAACCACCTTGCATGCCAAAAGTACTTTGATGAGGTTCGATCTGATTGGCTTACAGTTTGAAGTGAGAACAGATGGCGGAGAAACACAACAGGGAGCGGAAAAACCCCGCGAAATCTCTTTTAGCCTTTTACACAGAATGAAATATTCCCAGATTGTCCTCACAAAGACTAATGCACCGTGCACGTTTTATCCGATTCCTTCCAAACTTTGCCACAATGTAGAACAATTGTTAAGGAGCAAAAGTGTGTTCGCGTTTTTCGTTTAACGCCATACTTTTCGAGTTATAGATTTCGTTCTACCGTGTATACAAAATTTGTGTAAATCAACTTGCCTGCTTTATATCAAAGCAAATACAATAGCTGTCAAAAAATGCGAACACACTTTTGTTATTTGATCATCTGAGATGGGAAATATGATGTTTTTCAGGTCCTAGGGTTAAATCGGCGGCGTGCAAATCTCGTGACGCAAAGGAGGTCAGATTTTCAAAAGTAGCCTGTAGCAACCCACTGTTTTAAAATATAACATTTTTGTTAAATTGCTGGTTACAACAATGATCTACCATCACGTACACAAAATTTGACGGCAAAAGCGTAAAAATTGAGCGCGCGGTGAGCATTTTTGGAAAACGCCATTCCATCATGTGGAGTAACCTTAAACCATCAAAAAGATCCGAGAAGCAAAGAGAATGGAATTGTTCTGACAGATAAATCCTTGTCGCCAAAGAATGAACCTAGGGAAGAGTGAACCTGTTACGGTAGGTCTTCCTTGTAGGAAAAAAGTTCCTCCATGATGAGCTTTATATTACAATGGACAAAGATGCTTTGAATGAAACTATAAAAAAGATCTGAGATGAGTACTTAGTTATACAAGGCAACATCGTCCCAAAGAGAATGAAATTGCACTGAAAGATAAATCCCTGTCCACAAAGAATTACGTTGCAGTGGTCGGGTAGTACATGCAAGTTGGCTCCAAGAAAGAAGAATTATTTGAAAAAGAGAATGGGTAGGTAGCAGATGGTTGGGACTTGGAATGCAAAGTTAACGTGGAAGATGAAGAAAATAGAAAACGGAAGAGATCTGAGCCGCAAAATCCCAACATTGCTGCTGGAAGAAAAGGAGTTGGAGGAAGAGGATGGCCACAGACCAAGCGATATATGGATAATGATGGATAGAGTGAAACTGACATATGAATTCAGGGCAGTCCTGCTTACTAGGTTTGGATGGTTGATGAATGGCCATATTGATGCTGCCCAATACCCCATAAAAGAGCTTGAGACTGTGGTTGGTGGTTTAAATTGTATTGCGGCAATGACACATTGCAGTAGATTTGCACCCCATGATCCTCACTAAACCATTCAGTGCCATAATATTGGTTTACATGGGTAACATCAACTTCGATTACTGGGAAGTTAGTTGTCTACGAAAGCTTATATAGGATGGTAAATGAATTTCGTAAGCGGCAGTTGGTGTACATCTATAGAGTTGCGTAATGGTAACGGTTTCCTCGGTATCACAGTAGTTCTGCAACAACGACAAAGAGAAACCTCCAATTGTAATGATAACGGTTGGAACAATTGTAGTCTTGTAGATTTCTGGGAAGGTAGTTGTCTACGAACGGTTATATAGGACGGTAAATGAATCTCTTAAGCGGCAGTTGGTGTACATCTATACAGGGTTGTGTAAGGATGGCAGTTTCCTTGATATCACAGTAGTCCTGCAACAACAACAAAGAAGAACATCCGACTGTGGTATTTTTTGCATTGCCAATGCTGTGGCACTAGCAAACGATCTTGAACCATGAAACTTGAAGCATGTTTCCCCACGAAGTAAAGCATACACCTAGCACGAGATTTCATTATGTTGTCATCATTTATTGCATCTGCTTAATGAACATCCCTGGCGTGCAAATGGTTCGCTGCAGTGTCTGCAACAACTGGTTTCAGTCTACGAATTGTATGAAACTTTCAGCGAAAAGGTTGCAGCGCTTGCAACTGAAACACCATTCATATGCGGATATTGTGAAAGAGAAGGCGTTCACGCCTATTTATACCGGGATATTTTATGTTAAAATACCTACTGGTAAGGCACGCACCTCAGAAATTTTGCCAATTAATTGTCATTATCCTATCTTTTATCTTCTTTTACTTAAAAATAACAAAAAGGGCGATTTACACATTCAAAAAGTTGCCTTTTGTCCCCGTTCAAATACCAGGCCAATAAACAAAGTGTTACACGAAGTGTAATGGAGGTTGAGTAGGAGCCTGCAGTATAGTTTTCCAAAAACACAACATTTACTTTCAAATTGCCAAATACTCTGGATTTTATGCAAAATATTTTATACTAAAATTGATACAATTGTTGTAGGAAACATATTCTTGTACTGTGCAATATACTGTGCTTGCTAAAAGTTTGCAGTTCCTGTGAAGATCAAGGAGAAGTTATGTCTTGAAGGTAACAAAGAGATCCGTGTATTTTGCATATATTTGGCACATGCAAATAATATATTTGAATATTATACATAAAATATATTACAAATAATTATTTATACAAAATTATATATTAATAAGTATATTTTACTTTCGAAAATTATGTGTAATAATCCCTTTTTATACATCCTCTAATTAGAACATGCTATAAGTGACCTTGGAAGTGATTCCAGTTTTTTTTTTCTCCTCCATTTTTTGCCACTGATGCCTTGTTTGACAGATGTCGTTAAAAGTCTGTATAACTTTGAACTTTCTGAATTTTTTTCTACAGTCATCACCGCAGAAGAATAATATTAAAAGTCATAAAAGCTCACGCAAATGAGAGAGACCAGCCTTCGACTTCATTGGCATAAAGCACACATGCAATGTGGCATATGAACTCTGTTGTTTTGACTGTTATGATCAGGATGCTTTAAGGCCGGTTTACACTGGCGATTTTTGCTTCGATTTTAGGTGCGATCTTTTCTGCCGAACACCCTGCGATTAAAGTACAATTTAAGTGCAACTTCAATGCAACAAGCTGCAAACCTTTTGATCATGATCGAAATTTATCGCACCTCGCTGCAATTTTCAAAAAAAAATATGCACAAACTATACGACTCTACCACCCTCGCACAGCAGGTTTTGTTCGGGAAAAAATGGCGAAAAATAAAAAAAAGCGAGAAAAACAATCCAAAACTTGGGAAATTGAACAGAAAGAAATGTTGAAAGAGTTGTGGCAGAACTATGACTGCCTTTTCAAAACCAATAGTGCCGAGTTCAAGCGTGTAGACAAACGACAGGCAGCGCTCGAAGATATAAGACAGAAATTGGAAACGGAGCTTGAGAGCTCATTCACTGGTAAAATCTCTTAACTTTTTATTTATACTAAAACATACACAGCAAAGAATACCTTTCATATTAGAAAATAAAACACCTGATAGCAATACATTTTTATCGTTAGTTGTTTATACATATTATAGTTTTTATTAATAATCCATCCAACCTTCACGCATGCAGTTTGGCTTGATTTTATTTTAATAATTAAAAAACTTTATTAGTTTTTACGTTTGTCTTTTCCTTTCTAGCTCTGAGATTGTATTCTGAGAGAATAAAAGCTTTTTCCCAAAAGATTCAGTTAGTGTTTTTTTTTAATATATCTAATACCAATTCCTATATCTTATTTTCCATTATTCATTAAAGATAAAGACATTAAAGCCAAATTAGAAATTTGAGAACCCAATATGCAAAAGAAATTTGTAAAATACGGGCTAAATGTCAAGTGGTGCAGGGACAAATTCTACGCTTCCCTTCATTTTCTTCGAGACAGTATAACTCCCGTTAAAACAAGACCAACATCAGGTGATACTTGTCCTGCCTCTCAAATCGTCGCAATAAATGAGGAGGTAAACTCCGGCCATGTCCATCATGATATTAACGATGTCAATGAGAACGAGGAAAACGAAGACAACGCTGGTATCTCGAGAGTTTTCGATAGTTTGATTGAGACACAAAACGACCCCAACAAGTCTGCCAAATCCAAGGTCAAAATTCGAGAAAAAATGGAGAACATTGTGTTCAAGAAATCGTTGACAGTACTTTATAGTCTGGGAAACAAAAGAAAAAGTTCGGAGGAAAACGACGCCGATAGAATCTTTGGAATTCGTGTTCAGGCAAATAGAAGACCGACGAGGCAAATAGAAGACCGTCGAAGTAAAGAGCTTGTAAAGCTAAAAATCTAGCAGCTTCTCTTCAATGCTGAGGGAAGGAATGAGGGAAGTTCAAGTGTTCAACTACGTCATTTAATTGCAATCATGCCAAAAGTGTTTTCCATTACCATGGAACTTGGCCTAGTCCGTTAACATACTGGGACAAGCAATCTCTGATTTTGCTGGCACTCTTGGGGTGTTACAAGTAGTTGAAGTAAGCTTCGGTAAATCCAATAAACTTGTGGCAATTGTGATACAAACTTTAGGAATTATGATTGACAATGTACCTTTATTAATTGAAATTGTTACTGCAGACTTGTGTATGACTCACCAGTGACCAATAATCGAAAGGAAACTGTCAGCTGTTCAGCAGGACTAATTGCATTTCGACAACGAGTGTCTTTCTTTTGTAAAGACTGCTATACTTTGCCCAAAAGCTGTTTAAATACTGGAAGATCCATACGTACGTAATTTTTTAAACTACTAGGATCTTTTTCGAGACTTTCCTTAGTTGATGGAAAGCTCCGTCCGACTCACTGCTTTTGGCCCATGGTCTTATCCAGAATTTTCTTTCCCTTCGCTTTTTTCGGCGAGAACGTGCAAACAATCTTAATAATAATTTTATTTGATTTCCCACAAAAAATTACAAATACCAAAAATCATATATATACAAAAATAATTGTGGTGAGGAAGTCCAAATAGAAACCATCAGGCTTGTATACTTTGGGCTACCTCACTGATTTCAGCTAGATTAAATAAAACATGTGCATGATACTAGGGCAAAGACAGATATTCGAGTAAGAATGAAATGAGCCAAATTACTAAATATTGAAACTATACGTAACGAGAAAAAGAAACGATTTTAGCTAGTAGTTAACCCTTAGTTTTCTCAAAAAAAAATTTTTCGATGAGTACAGTTGCGAAATTTATCACTTTCTTCCCCTGTCAAGTTATTTTTTTATTTTATGTAACTATTTCGGCCAAAATTTGCGATAATATAGACGTTGGTGGAATTTTCGTGCATAGTAACCATTTGTTTTTAATTATTTACTTCGGTTGCTATGGGGTTTTTCGTCTTCGATTTTGTGATAAAATTTCGAACCCCTCTCTTCTAGGACGAGAAAACCCCCCTTTTCAATGACCATTGAATCATGCTCGTCTCATGCCCCCGAAAGCAACTATGACGCGGTTTGGTGTGAATACATGTGACAGAGTGCCAAATCGCGAAGGTGAACATCTAGTTCGGTCAATTTGAAAAGCTTTTATTACAGAAGTCTAAATGGCTGAAAACAATAGTACGAAGCTTAGATCGATCAGAAGAAGAAAAAGTAAAGGTTTTCATGGGCTGAGAACCGACGAAATAGGCGAGGGATCGAGCGAAAGTGCGAGTGGTTTTGCTGATGACCGACATCCGTCTACCGGCGTGTCAAATGTTGCCGAGGTTTTGGAAGCAAACAGCCAAGGTAAATATGTCGCAGAAAAAGCTGCTCAATTCGTCTTTTCAGAAGAAGCTTGATTCTGACCAAGCAGTTTTAACCCGCACAAAAACCAAAACTCTCGGCCTTGGATCTACAAATAACACTGGGAGTGCATCTGGGTTCAAGGTGCAAGATGCATCTCTGCTAAAAGAATGTATCTCTAGTGCAGTAATTTGTAGTGCTTGTAGAGATCCCAAATCTAAACTACAACTCTTTCAAAACAACAGGTTGAGAGAGGGCCTTGCAGAACCTTATACTTAGAGTGTTCAATATGTGAGGCACAGACCCCTCCCTTGACCAGCAAGCGTTTGGGTGGTAGGGGAGGTGGAGCCCAGGAAGTGAATCGCAGAGTAGTTTAGCAGCTCCTCAATTGGGTCATGCCGGACTAACTCAATTTTTGTGCTGGAATGAATTTGCCACCTCCTGTAACAAAGAAGGCTTACAATGACCATCAAATCCAAATAAAAACCATTGCGGCAGACAATGCTGAAACGTTGATGAAGGATGCGGCAAAGCGACTGGTTGACAAGGTCGCCATGGAAAGCCCGGATGACATTGAAGATGATGGAACTACTGTTGTCGCAAATGTGTCGGTTACAATTGATGGAACATGGCAAAAAAGAGGACATTCATCAAGAATTGGTGTTACTTTTGTTATATCCGTGGACACTGATGAGGTCCTAGATTACTGTGTCAAGTTCCTGTTTTGTCATGAGTGTAAATCTCATGGAAACATGAATGCTGAAAGCGAAGAATACCAGTCTTGGAAAGAATGCCATGAACCACCATACAGGTTCATCAGAAGAAATGGAAGCTGCTTCAGCCACTGAAATATTTGGGAGATGTATCAGTGAACGTAATTTAAAATATGCTACATTTTTCGGTGATGGAGACAGTAGCTCATACGGACGAGTGAAGGATGCTATGTTCCAAAAGCATGGAGATGAATATATTGTAACTAAGGAAGAATGTGTTGGCCATATCCAAAAAAGACTTGGGACAGCATTTACAAAGTACAAGGCAGATAAGAAGGGTAAAAAGCTATCGGATGGTAAAGGTGTTGGTGGTCGGGGAAGATTGACAGACAAAATCATCGACAAAATGCAAAACTATTATGGAAAAGCTATTCGGGGGAACAAGGGTGATCTTCTGGGAATGAAGAGGAGCATAAAAGCAATTCAGTGCCACATGATTGACAATACAAAAGTACCTATGCAAGAGCAACATCACTATTGCCCTAAAGATGATAACACTTGGTGCAAATTTTGGAAAGAACAGTTAGATAACACCGTAACATATGACCAAAGCAATCGTTTGCCTGAGGTATTTATGGAAGAGTTAGCTCCAATTTTTACAAGGCTTTCTCAGGACAATCTACTCTCTAGGTGTTTGAAAGGGATAACTCAAAATCAGAATGAGGCTATCAATGGAATGCTCTGGTCTAAATGTCCCAAGACTGAATTTTGTGGAGCTCGAAAAATAACAATAGCTGTCTGTGAGACCATTGGCCTTTTTAATACAGGTGCTGCCAGTGAAGCCATGGTTATGGGTATATTTGGTATAACACAAGGCACTAATACAATAAATTAAAAGCACTAAGGTTGCAAGATCAGTCCAGAATTAAAGCTGCTTCAAAAAAGGTTAGCAACAAGTACCAAAAGCAACGACAGAAACTTCGTGCACAAAAAAAAGTCGAAAGGTGAGAAGACAGCTTACCAGGTAAGCTGGTGGATTTAACCTGAGCTCTCAGCCTGATGCCCCTGTTAAAAAGAAAGGGAAGAAAAACCGCCAAGTAATATGGAGCAGAATATGACTGACCCGTCTGTTGTGCAAACGATAGAAGCAAAACGGCAAAAATAAGTGTGTTCCAAGTAAGGTAATCTTGTGTCTAGATGCTTAGTCATTCACCTTTTTAGCATAAATGTCCAATGTTTCTATGGTAAAAGATGTCAGCACACAATATTCTAACTAATAATACAATGAACATCAGATTAGGATAGTTTACTAGACTAGTTTTGGAAGAATAAGCCAAAGTTAGGGCGATAAAGTTTGTTAACACTTTTACATTAATTCAAATTAACGAATTTATTGTAATCAAGGGTGGTAACAATGATAATGCAAAGGGATTTGATGGATTTTGATGATTTTGGGGCTCGGTATCAAACTTATCATAATCTATGCAATGAATGGTCAGTTTTTCGTATTATGCATTTGTTCCTTTGTTACCATGGAAACTGGATATTTTCAGGGTTCGGACTCGGCAATTAACTCTAACAAAATCCCAACCATTCATTGCACAGATTTTGACATAACCAACAGTCTCACCAAGTTTGGTGTTAATATCTATTCTTCCCTTTGAGTTATTACTGTTGGGAGTGAGTCGGTTATTTAGGTTTATTTGTTGTCGTCATGGCAACCAAAGCCCATGCTGTGTATCAACAAAGCTTAATATATGTGACATGTTTGGTACTAGTTTTGTGCCAAGTTTCAAATTTCAATGTGATTGGTCAGATATTTTTAAAAAAAGAGCCTGAAGAGTGTATTAGTAAACTAAGGGTTAACTACTACCTTACTTAGATTGAAAACTAAAAATAGATGATGAATTACGTATATCGGGATTCCAGGTATTGAAAAATTTTGGTCCTTGATATAATTAACAGAAAATAGGCGAGTATTTGTCCTGCAATAAGGCACGCTAAGTGTTCGGGATTTACGGGTATTACAATTGTGAATTTGATATACAGTTAAAAGTGGACATTCAAAACAATCAGGAAGCAATTTATGTTTGTATTGAAAAATAAACTTTCCGAGCTTAAATAAACGTTTCTGTAGAACAACAATGCGATTAAGATTAGTTGAATACGTCGATCCCCATACCGTAATGCAATATTGAAGATATCGATATACCAGAGCAAAGTAGAGTTTTCGCAAAGCTGATTTGAAGAGATAAAAACTCTATTGATCTATATATAATTCCAATAGATTTAGAAATTTTATGAGCAACATGAGATATATGTGCTTTCCATGATAAGTTCTCATCTAACAGTACACCAAGAAAACAAACTTCTTTGACTTTATTAATTTCATTATTGCTTATTTCCAGTTTCAAGTCAATTTTTTGCCTTTTCTTGTCTTGGCTTAAGTATTATATAGTTGGACTTGGTTGTATTAGTAGAAAGTTTATTAGACTGAAACCATTCCGAAATCTTACATAATTAATTCAGAATTTATCAGACTCATTAAAGATGACAAGTTATCATGAGAATAGAACAAGTTAGTATCGTCATCAAATAGAATAAACTCTCCAATGTCGCGCTTTTACTTTTGTTTCAAAATATAAACGTTTAGCTATTCGGATTGAATGATTTAGTTTATTTTTAAAGTCAATATAGGTTTTTTATTTTCAAAACTAGGTTTCCTCATATATTTCTTATAGAGTTTATTCTTTCTTAATTGATGTTAAAAGGCCATTGGTCATCCATGGTTTAGAAAAATTAGTAGAACACACTTTTTGCCTGCGCAGCGGAAAACAAGTATCACAAATTTCAGAAAATTCATGTAGAAATTTGCTGTACGAATTAATTGGGTCATTCAGTCCGCAAATACCCTTCCAAACTGTATTCCCGAGTTTGTCACAAAACTTTGACACGTCATTATTGTGTTTATCGCGAATAACAACTCAGTTACCCACATCTGATTTGGTTGGCTTGCTCATACGCATGTTGTAGTAGACAAAAAGTCGGCAAATGATGGTTAGAATCACCCATTATATAACAAGTTTTATTTTCTCTAGAGATTATGTTTATTAAGGCATCCGTACTTGTATTGAATTCATTAATATTTTGACAAGGAGGGCGGTAAACAACACCGACAATAACGTTTTCCCCTCCGGGCTCAAGAATTTCGATAAACAAAGACTCATCACAATCTTTATTGTTATAACTTAAATCTTTACGCACTTTATAATTAAGAATGGCTGAAAAATATAATCCAACGCCACCACCTGTTCCATTATGGCGGCGATTATGAATAAAATTATAGCCAGGAATTTCATAGGCATTCTCCGAGGATTGAAGCCAGGTTTCAGAGAGGGCAATGAATGAAAATTTATGATCAATATTCCCCCCAAAATTAGAAAAAGTATCAAAGTTCCCTGACAAACTCCGAATATTAATATGAATTAAGGAAGATAAATCGTCAGAAGTTTCCTCAATATGTAGTTTTTCATTAAATTGAAGGTATAATAATCACAGTTATTAACGTCTTGATAAAAATTAGAGTCAGGGTCAATTTGACCAAAATTTGCAAGATTTTTCTTGGCACCAATCGAAGAACGTAATCGATTGTATATCAGGATAGATAGTCTGTCTTCATCAAAATGTACAGGGCCATTTTGTAATTCAAATATAATATGCCTAAACTCGGCATCGTCTAGATTATGAAATGGTAATGTATCTTCCAGTAAATCGAATAATATCAATAAATAATCGTAAGGAATAAATAACTACACAAAGTGCACGTGGCTTATGTAAAACTGGCTTTACAGTTGTCAAAATCTTTCGCTGACCCAAATGAAATTGGTTGGGCTTCTTCATCTTTCTTCAAATACGGTTTTCCGTATTTAGTCCAAACATATTTAAAGTTAATAAGTTCTTTGTACGTTTGCAAGGCGATAAAACATATAATAGTTTTGTTTGTGGAAACAGCACGTAAATTCATTACTGCAAAATTTATTATTATTATTTACCGTAAATTTATTTTTATTATTTATTTATTATAAATTCACGTGGTGTTTTCACAAACAAAACTATTATATTTAAAGTTATGGATACGTCCGAACTCTTTCACACGGTAGAACAGTCCTTTTGCTCTTTGAGCAAGGCTTTCATTAATGTACATATTTTAACACGACCTTGTAACTCCAATGTGCGACGAGTTATAAGTTTTTAAGTTGCCTTTAGCTTGATAAATTTTATCTCTTGTACTGCGTTTTGAAAACTTGGCAATGATTGTTGGATTGCAACCCTTTTACTCGGCAATCGATGACTAACTGAGATATCTGTCTGGACAACTTCAACAGCAACTAGCTCGCCGACCCGCTTGACTAGTTCATCGGTATTCTCACCATGGCTTGCAGGTATTCCATGGAGATTCCTTGTTCTTCTTGTTCTTCTTCTAGGTTACACGTTCTTTTATTCAATTCCTTTCTCCGTTCTTAAGTAGAATATTTTCGGACTTAAGCTGTTTATTTTTCTCTTGCAGCAGAGTAAACGACTTCAGTAATTCGTCAAATTTGTTGCCTAGGAAGTCCAGACTTTTTTGTAAGCTCATCTTGCGTTGATTTATTATATTCAGAACTACCTCGTTTAGATCCTTCATTTGTACTTTAAAGCGGCTATCTACGATGTCTTCAAACGCCGACAATGGAGGCAACGTGGCATCAGATGTTGAAGCGTTTGTTTGCTCGCCTGTGGCATTTGTTTTCTTCTTAGGAGGCATTATATTAAACCGCGTAAAATATATTCAGATTACTACAAGGTAGTAACCACTTAAATAACAGTTAGCAATTAGCAATAAAGAACTTATATTTTGCTTTTCACTGTCGGACAACAACAACTTTTGTGCACCACAATCTGGCTGGAAGAAACACTTCAAAAGAATCATGAAAGATTGATTTCAGAAGAAGAGAACTCCGAATCGAGGCTAGCGACGCACGTTTTACAATTCGTTTGTCGTAGTACTTTCTTCAACTTTGACTACCCATGTGTTTTTTTTTCTGGTCAAAAACACGTCTGCTGTGAGTAGTAATATAGAGGCCATATTTTTGAGGTGGTGTGAGGTGGCGCATCATCACTAGCATAGAATGACGTGACGCATCATCATTAGCATAGAATGAGGTGGCGCATCATCAGTAGCATAGAATGAAGTGGCGACATGGTATGGTGTGTATCTCGACATGATACGGTGTGTTGTCTACGGAAAGTCAAGAAAGATGGTCCGAATCGAAATCGTCTGTTTTACTGCTGTCCGAAGGAAGACTCTTGTGGTTTCTTCGAATGGAAGCAACAAGAACCTCGTGTAATGAACACTGGCGTCGTGCTCTTCAGTAACCCACTACAATACCAGTACATTATTGAAGAAATAGGAGAGACTAGTTCTAAATCTAACACTAGGAGAGACTAGTTCTAAATCTAACACTAAGGAGGCCTATGATGAACTTCGTAGATTTGGTTTAACAAGTGAATTTGATAAAATATACTTCTTGTAATAATAATACGTTGCTATGTGTTGCTAGTTAATTAATATAAATTTGCATATATTTACTGAAATAAATAACGTGTGTCTCATTTGCTTTACAATCGTTGTGGTGAGAGTATCATGGATAACATAGATATCATTTTTGATGAGTTGAAACGAAATGAAATTGATGTTGATAAGCAAACTTTATGGATTCATATAAATACAATGATCAACCAACATCGAGATATATACCGTGAAATGAATACTCATGATCTAAACCTTGAACAAGTCTACAGAGAGATCAATGTTACAAACTTTGGTCGTATTCTCACCCGAGGTGTTGACCAGTATAGAGGGGTCGGGTAATCGGTATGGTGTATTTAGCTTTCGTATGTTTACAAAAGGATAGCGAAGAATCTATTCGTCACAATGTACAAAAAAACATCGAGACCTGTCGAATTTTTAGTATTCCCAAACATGAACCAAATAGTAAACTTCCAATTTTAATAGCGCTCTCACTTACACTAATAGCTTTATATGTCAGTCTATAATTACTGCCTGATTAATTTCGTTCTAACCTCTGACGTCAAAGGATGAGTTGTTGCTGTGAAGGCCTACCACAAATAACCCTCCGAAATATCTTTCGGAGTATACGTTGTATTTCTGCTTGCTGTGGAAGAAAAATTGTAATTCAGGCCTCAGACATCGATGGCAGAGAAATATCTAAATCAACTATATTACAACCCCGAAAGTCCCGCAAGCTTTGGTGGCGTACATTCCATTTATCGCGCCCTGAAAAACGAAGGGAAATATCAGATATTGACAACGCACTTACTGAAATTTGTCTTTAAATATTACTTGGAAGAGAATGGCACAGCAACATCGGAAAATACGTGGTAAGTTGACTTTGATTATTTACAGCTAAGTATTTAAGGCAATCCTACAATATTTTTTGTGTGTATATTTTCAGGAGAGATCGATTCATGGCCGATCTCGAGAATGAAGAAGTCAATCGCCAACTTTGTGCCGTTGCCGTAGACGATTTGTTTGAGTCTTGGTCGCCTGAAACCCAGGAATGCATGTTGGCTGAATGGAATGTGGCAAAATGTTTACACGATCCAACGACCTAAAGCGCCATACTAGACATGTACATATTGGGGAAAGTCCATTTGTATGTCGTGATTCCGACAAAATCTTTGCGACTAGAGATGTGTTAAAACGCAACGAAAAATCCAGCTGGAGAAATTCTTCAAATGCACAAGGCGCCATCAGAAATTCGATCGAATGGTATGTAATTACGACAGCTATATTTTGACGGAGATATAGTATTTTGAGCTAATAATATCTATTTACATGATTTCAAGGATAACCAGAATAGGCATATGAAAATGCACGAACGACGGGGTGCCGAAAGGGAATATACATGCAATATTTGTGGTGAACTATTCCAAAACATATTCCCATTCCAAGCTCATCAGCGTGATGTCCATGAAGTTGGTGGTGTAAATCGGAAATGGAAAAGGAACTGTAAATCGGGTAGCTCAATTAGGCAAGCTAAAAGAACGAGAACTGATGGACCAGGTATGTATACTGATTATTAGGAGTAATGTGACAACTTTGTATTTAAACAAATATTTTTCCTCTTTCAAGAACCGCCAAGACCTTCGACGCCGGTTAACGAAGGTAAGAAAATACATATGTTACTCCGTGTTTTCAGTTGCTATGTAACGTTGCGAAGTTAACAGCACTAATACGTTTTTTCCTGTCCAGTAGCGTCCACACATACCGCCATCAACGAAGGTATAATTCTTTATTGTTAAATCTCAAGATTCAATCAACCCACCAAACGACCTTGCTTCCTCACTCCACCGACAACATAGGCGTGTCATTCGTATGAGACAAAGCCGAGGCAACCGACTACAAGATTGGTATAATTATCGTATGAGCTCGTCGAACATGGGTCAACTTGTTGATGACCAAAACAACGTATTCAAGCTTAATTTATCCTTTGGCTTCATTCTTTTCAATAACGAGATTGAAGAGATGCAGTACCATCACTCTTCAAGCGAATGACGCTCGGGTATTTGACACCCCCTTCCAGATTAGGAACCTCGAAAATCTACAGCAAGTTCGCGAGGCTTTACAAAACATCGACATTCATGAATGGGCTCAGCAACAAAGACTAAACTCTAAAATGGTCGTCATGGATTTCACCAATGCTACGTTTTATGTGACCAAACTTCGAGACCATCCCATAGGTCGCAGGAATCGATTTTTGCTGTACTGTATCATTGCAAGGACAGATGGAGAAGAACAGCTTTACAGAGCACTTTAATTCACTTTTCCATATGCTGTCCGCCTTCGTTGTTTCGTCCACTTTCGAGAAAACTGCAAAGCACAACTGAAGCAGTCAATTATTCCAGAGGCACAGCAAAAAGAATTTCTTGCCGATATATTCGGACGACGATGCGCAGATACGCGGGAAAATGGTATGAAAATTCTTTGTTTTAGGCCACAATTATATCGATCAAAATTTGGTCAGTCCAAATTACTCTACTTTGACCGGAATTAAATGTACACCTTCAAATTAACAGTGCATTCTAGCATATTATATATACCTGATATTACATCAAACATAATGCAACTTTAACAAATACATTTTCGAATGTAAGAATGACTGGTTCTGCAAGAAAAGCCAGTGAGGTGAAAAAAACCCAAAGAGTTTCACAAAGGCAGGCAAAAAGGTGTAAGAGAGCAAGAAGCAAGAGAAAGGTGGTCCATCCTATGCCAGCAGAGCTTTCAATGAGAAGCTACATTGGGGCCAAAGCTAGCAATAAAGCCTTGATTTTTTTAAAACGTCTTGTACTTGTATTTTACAATTTAAATTGTAGTGAATATAAATTCCCAAAAACCTGAAGCTACTTTTTCCCTTCATAGCCACCTGGTTCAAATACAGATTAGAACTAAAGCTGATTCTCTTTTGACAGCTACGAAATATAACAAAATTTGTTTTATCAATGTTCAAACTCGATTTATTAGCAGATAACCATGCCGATATCTTGGACAAATGAACATTTACTAACACTCCTAGTTCCGATAATTTGTTATGTGCAAAAAATAAATTTGCATCGTCCGCAAATATATGAAATTCAAATAAATCAGAACAGTTTCAGAAATCATTAATATATTTGGGACTGACCAAGAATATTGTGGCAAAGCTATAAGGAGAAATATAAGTCGGAACGTCAGAACAAAAAGGGAAATCAATAGTGCAATCGAGAATATGCAGGAAGCGATTTCTGCTGTACTGTATCATTGCAAGGACAGATGGAGAAGAAGAGCTTTATAGGGCACTTAAATTCACTTTTCCATATGCTGTCCACCTTCGTTGTTTCATCTACTTTCGAGAAAACTGCAAGGCACAACAGAAGCAGTCAAATATTCCAGAGGCACAGCAAAAATAATTTCTTGCCGATATATTTGGACGACGATGCGCAGATACGCGGGAAAATGGTATGAAAATTCTTTGTTTTAGGCCACAATTATACCGATCAAAATTTGGTCAGTCCAAAATACTCTACTTTGATCGGAATTAAATGTACACCTTCAAATTAACAGTGCATTCTAACAGCTTATATATACCTGATATTACATCAAACATAATGCGACTTTAACAAATACTGTGAATTGATATTTTCAGGTCTTGTAGACGCTAAAGATGAGAATGACTTAAGAAATAAGTTATTTAGTTGTAAAGAAGCTTGCAACAACGAAGAAGGGCGTTACCTACCACCGGGTCAAAAACCTAAATTTTATGATTACATCCTTATACTGACCCTAAGAAGAGATACATGTTTTGCCCTAAGAATGAAGAATCTTGGTGCAAGTATTGGAGAACAAAAAAGGCTGCTGCAAAAGTACATTATCTGGATCCAGTTTTCCTGGACTTTCTTTTACCATTATTCACCCGGCTTAGTAAGCGCTCATTGTTTCTTTGGTGTTTGCCTGGATATTCCCAAAATGAAAATGAAAGCCTAAATGGTATTGTTTGGAGTAAAGCATCCAAAGATAAGCACAAAGGTCCTAACTTCAGCTTGACAGTGGTGCGAAAGCCTGCACGGTGTTATGACCATAGCGAATATACCACCCAATGAGCAAGCAGTGAAAGCAGGAGAAATCAAGGACAAGGTAAGAATGACTGGTTCTGCAAGAAAAGCCAGTGAGGTGCAAAAAACAAACAAAAGAGATTAACAAAGGCAGGCAAAACGTGTAAGAGAGCAAGAAGCAAGAGAAAGGGAAGGTGGTACATACGTCCTATGCCATCGGAGCTTTCAATGAAGAAGCTACATTGGGGCCAAAGGCAGGAATAAAGCCTTGATTTTTTTTAAACGTTTTGTATTTGTATTTTCCATTTTAAATTGTAGGAAATATAAATTCCCAAAAACCTTAAGCTACTTTTTTCCTTGACAGCCGCCTGGTTCAAATGCAGTAAAGGTGATTCTTTTTTGAGAGCTACGAAATATAACACAATTTGTTTTTTCAATGTTCAAACTAAATTTATTAGCAGCTAGCTATGCCGATATCTTGGACAAATGAACATTTATTGACACTTCTAGTTCCGATAATTTGTGATGAGCAAAAAATGTGTGATGACTTAAGAAATAAGTTATTTAGTTGTAAAGAAGCCTAGAACAAGGAAGAAGGGCGTTACCTACCACCGGGTCAAAAACCTAAAATTTATGATTACATCCTTATACTGACCCTAAGAAGAGACATATGTTTTGTCCGAAGAATGAAGAATCTTGGTGCAAGTATTGGAGAACAAAAGAGGTTGCTGCAAAAGTACATTAACTGGATCCAGTTTTCCTGGACTGTCTTTTACCATTATTAACCCGGCTTCCCTGGATATTCCCAAAATCAAAATGAAAGCCTAAATGGTATTATTTGGAGTAAAGCACCCAAACATAAGTACAAAGTCCTAACTTCAGTTTGACAGTGGTGCGAAAGCCTACACGGTGTTTTGACCATAGCGAAGATACCACAGAATGAGCAAACAGTGAAAGCAGGAGAAATCAAGGACAAGATAAGAATGACTGGCTCTGCAAGAAAAGCCAGTGAGGTGCAAAAAAAACACAAAAGAGTTGCACAAAGGCAGGCAAAACGTGTAAGAGAGCAAGAAGCAAGAGAAAGGGAAGGTGGTCCATTCTATGCCAGCGGAGCATTCAATGAGAAGCTACATTGGGGCCAAAGCCATCAATAAAGCCTTGATTTTTTTAAAACGTTTTGTATTTGTATTTTCCAATTTAAATTGTAGGGAATATAAATGCCCAAAAACCTTAAGCTACTTTTTCCTTGATAGCCACCTGGTTCAAATGCAGATTAGGACTAAAGCTGACTCTTTTTTGAGAGCTACGAAATATAACAAAATTTGTTTTTTCAATCTTCAAACTGAATTTATTAGCAGCTATGTACTGTATGCCGATATCTTGGACAAATGAACATTTATTAACACTTCTACTGTAGTTCCGATAATTTGTGATGAGCAAAAAATAAATTTGCATCGTCCGCAAATATATGAAATTCAAATAAATCAGAACAGTTTTAGAAATCATTAATATATCTGGGACTGACCAAGAATATTATGGCAAAGCTATAAGGAGAAATATAAGTCGGAACGTCAGAACAAAAAGGGAAATCAATAGTGCAATCGAGAAGATGCAGGAAGCGATTTTTGCTGTATTGTATCATTGCAAGGACAGATGGAGAAGAAGAGCTTTATAGCGCACTTAAATTAACTTTTCCATATGCTGCCCACCTTCGTTGTTTCATCCACTTTCGAGAAAACTGCAAGGCACAACAGAAGCAGACAAATATTCCAGAGGCACAGCAAAAATAATTTCTTGCCGATATATTTGGACGATGAGTTGGAGATACGTGGGAAAATGGTATGCAAATTATTTATTTTAGGCAACAATTACATCGATCAAAATTTGGTCAGTCCCAATTACTCTACCGTGATCGGAATTAAATGTACATCTTCGAATTAACAGTGCATTATAGCATATTATATATACCTGATATTACATCAAACATAATGCGACTTTAACAAATAATGTGAATTGATATTTTCAGGTCTTGTAGGGGCTAAAGATGAGAATGACTTAAGAAATAAGTTACTTAGTTGTAAAGAAGCTTGGAACAAGGAAGAAAGCCGTAACCTTCCACCGGGTCAAAAACCTAAATTTTATGACTACATCCTTATACTGAACCTAAGAAAAGAGAAATGTTTTGCCCTAAGAATGAAGAATCTTGGTGCAAGTATTGGAGAACAAAAAAGAGGATGCTGCAAAAGTACATTAACTGGATCCAGTTTTCCTGGACTTTCTTTTACCATTATTCACCCGGCTTAGTAAGCCCTCATTGCTTCTTCGGTGTTTGCCTGGATATTCCCAAAATCAAAATGAAAGCCTAAATGGTATTGTTTGGAGTAAAGCATCCAAACATAAGTACAAGGTACAGGTACAGATATTTCACAGCACACTCCCTAACAGGGCTTTTTAGTGACTGGTTACATTATGAATAGATAGATAGAACCAGACTGACGTGAAGCAGACCGAGGTAGACTTTGAGCTTACAAATGGCGCTTGAGCAGCCGCTATTAGTCCATACCTCATTAATGATCTGCCTCCAGACCTATCCTATGTGCCTAACCCACCCTGTCAACCTTCCCCTTCAGTTTGACAGTGGTGCGAAAGCCTACACGGCGTTATGATCTTAGCCAAGATACCACCCAATGAGCAAACAGTCAAAGCAGGAGAAATCAAGGACAAGGTAAGAATGACTGGTTCTGCAAGAAAAGCCAGTGAGGTGCAAAAAAAACCAAAAGAGTCTCACAAAGGCAGGCAAAACTTGTAAGAGAGCAAGAAGCAAGAGAAAGGGACGGTGGTACGTCCTATGCCATCGGAGCTTTCAATGAAGAAGCTACTACATTGGGGCCAAAGCCAGCAATAAAGCCTTGATTTTTTTAAACGTTTCGTATTTGTATTTTCCATTTTAAATTGTAGGGAATATAAATTCCCAAAAACCTTAAGCTACCTTTTCCTTGACAGCCACCTAGTTCAAATGCAGATTAGGACTAAAGCTGATTCTTTTTTCAGAGCTACGAAATATAACACAATTTGTTTTTTCAATGTTCAAACTGAATTTATTAGCAGCTAACTATGCCGATATCTTGGACAAATGAACATTTACTAACACTTCTAGTTCCGATAATTTGTTATGTGCAAAAAATAAATTTGCATCGTCCGCAAATATATGAAATTCAAATAAACCAGAACAGTTTCAGAAATCATTTGGGACTGACCAAGAATATTATGGCAAAGCTATAAGGAGAAATATAATTCGGAATGTCAGAACAGAAAGGGAAATCAATAGTGCAATCGAGAATATGCAGGAAGCGATTTTTGCTGTACTGCATCATTGTAAGGACAGATGGAGAAGAAGAGCTTAATAGGGTACTTAAATTCCCTTTTCCATATGGTGTTCACCTTCGTTGTTTCATCCACTTTCGAGAGAACTGCAAGGCACAACTGAAGCAGACAAATATTCCAGAGGCACAGCAAAAAGAATTTCTTGCCGATATATTTGGACGATGAGTTGGAGATACGTGGGAAAATGGTATGCAAATTATTTATTTTAGGCAACAATTATATCGATCAAAATTTGGTCAGTGCAAATTACTCTACTGTAATCGGTATTAAATGTACACCTTCAAATTAACAGTACATTCTAGTATATTATATACAGTATACCTGATATTACATAAAACATAATGCAACTTGAACAAATACTGTGAATTGACATTTTCAGGTCTTGTAGACGCTAAAGATGAGAATGACTTAAGAAATAAGTTATTTAGTTGTAAAGAAGCTTGGAACAAGGAAGAAGGGCGTTACCTTCCACCGGGTCAAAAACCTAAATTTTATGACTACATCCTTATACTGACCCTAAGAAGAGACACATGTTTTGTCCTAAGAATGAAGAATCTTGGTACAAGTATTGGAGAACAAAAAAGAGGATGCTGCAAAAGTACATTACCTGGATCCAGTTTTCCTGGACTTTCTTTTACCATTATTCACCCGGCTTAGTGAGCGCTCACTGCTTCTTCGGTGTTTGCCTGGATATTCCCAAAATCAAAATGAAAGCCTCAATGGTATTGTTTGGAGTAAAGCACCCAAACATAAGTACAAAAGTCCTAGATTCAGTTTGACAGTGGTGCGAAAGCCTACACGGCGTTATGACCTTAGCGAAGATACCACAGAATGAGCAAACAGTGAAAGCAGAAGAAATCAAGGACAAGATAAGAATGACTGGTTCTGCAAGAAAAGCCAGTGAGGTGCAAAAAAAGAAAAGAGTTGCCCAAAGGCGGGCAAAACTTGTAAGAGAGCAAGAAGCAAGTGAAAGGGAAGGTTGTCCATCCTATGCCAGCGGAGATTTCAATGAGAAGCTACATTGGAGCCAAAGCCAGCAATAAAGCCATTAGTATCCTTTAAACATTGATAATGTGTTAACAAATTTATCATTTTTTTGGAATGGGTGCAAACAAAAAGGAGAATGACGTGACCAAATTAGGATCTACCTTTAGCTTTCATTATCCGAAAAACAGAAATTCCGCATATTTCAACCTTTAAAATGCTACTACTCAAAGAGCTATTAACCAATTTTCATGAAAGTTTCTGAGATTTTTCACAACATCTATCTTAAAAAATTAATGAGAGCGTTTAAAAGATATTTTTCCTACTAGATAGATTTTTGCAATGGAGCTGGATTTTTGCAATGCAATCTACCTTTACCTTTCATTATCCGAAAAACAGAAATTCCGCATATTTCAACCTTTAAAATGCTACTACTCAAAGAGCTATTAACCAATTTTCATGAAAGTTTCTGAGATTTTTCACAACATCTATCTTAAAAAATTAATGAGAGCGTTTAAAAGATATTTTTCCTACTAGATAGATTTTTGCAATGGAGCTGGATTTTTGCAATGCAATCTACCTTTACCTTTCATTATCCGAAAAACAGAAATTCCGCATATTTCAACCTTTAAAATGCTACTACTCAAAGAGCTATTAACCAATTTTCATGAAAGTTTCTGAGATTTTTCACAACATCTATCTTAAAAAATTAATGAGAGCGTTTAAAAGATATTTTTCCTACTAGATAGATTTTTGCAATGGAGCTGGATTTTTGCAATGCAATCTACCTTTACCTTTCATTATCCGAAAAACAGAAATTCCGCATATTTCAACCTTTAAAATGCTACTACTCAAAGAGCTATTAACCAATTTTCATGAAAGTTTCTGAGATTTTTCACAACATCTATCTTAAAAAATTAATGAGAGCGTTTAAAAGATATTTTTCCTACTAGATAGATTTTTGCAATGGAGCTGGATTTTTGCAATGCAATCTACCTTTACCTTTCATTATCCGAAAAACAGAAATTCCGCATATTTCAACCTTTAAAATGCTACTACTCAAAGAGCTATTAACCAATTTTCATG